GATGGATTTGTTTTTTGTGATGCCTTAATTTCCAGATATATCCATTCCCCCCACTTCTCTAGCAAGTAATCCTTTGTAACAAAGAACAGAAAAAAGAAAGAGGAAAAAAAATAGTTAAACAAAAGTCAGCAAAATATTGAATGTGTCTGATGGCATATGCAATATTCCATATTCATTGTTCCCCACCTTCTCAATGAAGAGACAGAGGGAAAATTCATTTCCTCAACTTTTCTCTAGGGCTGCTTGGCCTTTGTAATTATAATATGTATATAATTATAATTAGGTCATTATCATTATAATTAGGTTTCTGGGATTTTCGTTCTTTCTATTTACATTGTTGCATCTGTGTAAATTGTTTTCCTAGTTCTGCTTACTTCACTGTTCATCTATGTCTTCCTATATTTCTCAGAATTCCTCATACTTAGTCTCTCTTATGCTGCAGATATATTCCATTACATCCATATGTCACAATTTGTTTAGCCATTCCCCAGTGAATGGGCAACTACATTGTTTCCAGTTCTTAGTTACCATAAAAAGTGCTGCTATAAATATTGTGGTGTATATGGGGTCATCCTTTCTGCCTTTGACCTCCTTGAGATAAATGCCTAGCAGTGGGACATCTGGGTCAAAGGATATTGGCTTTTTTATTTTTTAAGCATAATTGCAAATTGCTAAACTTAGTAGTTACCTTTTTTTTTTTTGTAATTACTGCCAATTGCTTTCGAGAATTATTAGACCAATCCACAGCTCTGCCAACAATGTATTTGTGTGCCTCTCTTCTTGCAGCCCTTCCAGCACTGATTATTTCCATCTTTTCCATTTTGCAGGGTATGAGGCAGACAAAGAGAGAGAGAGATTCAAACCCAGGTCCCCAGATGTCAAACTCAGTGCTCTTTCCACGTTAATAGACTGATGGATGACCACATGGTAATCGTTATTTGGACTAGATGAATTTTCAGGTCCTTCCAACTCTGAAATTCTGTGCCAACTCTGAGAATGCTATCCATTCTATTCTATCCTCAAACCCTCCAGATGTGGTCTGATCAGTTTATTATTAGCATAGGGAATTATTATTTTTAGCAGCTTAAGGGAAGCTGGGAGGACTGTTCCTCCATTCCATCCCCAGCCCATGTTTGGGCGGGAAAGTGGCAACATTCCAAAGATTGATTACTGGCATTCTGGAACAAGAGAAGACTGGCTTAAGGAAGGAAGGAAGGAGAAAAGGGATACGAATGAAAAATTATAAATACTATGAATAGATAAAAGGAAGCTGGAATTCAGAGGGCTTGGGAAGAGAGAGAGTAACCACAGAAGAATATTTACTCCTTGTGGGATGTTAGAGCTCCATGGCCATTTAGGTTTGAAGGGCAGAGGACTGTTATAGGAAGCAACTGGACAGAATAATACCTGAATGCACCATGGGGGAGGAAAGGGTTAGAAAGGAATTATAGTTATCCCTTCCACATCGAGGGTGTTAGGGGCACAGCACCCCCACAATCTGGAAAATTCCCATAAAATTTTTTGGCCCTCCCTTCATAACAGAGAAGTCTGAATTATTATAGTATGAAAAGCCAAAATATGTTGATATTATACAATACTATACATATATTTTATGCCTTCTGAATTTTTAAACTTCTTCTGTGTCATCTGAGGCTTCCACAAACCTCACCCAAAATTTAATTTCTTATGCCGGACCTGCGATATATCAGAACCATGATGGGGAAAGTCACAATGTGGAAGGGCTAACTGTGTAAGCTTTGTCTTTCTTTCTGCTTGTGTGTCTGTTTCCACATGGACTCCCACTTTGGTGCTACTGTGTCTGTGGGGAAGCCAGTTCAATGGATATGACCTGCGTGGAAATAAAGACGTGATCTCTCCCTCTCACACACACACACACACACACACACACACACACACACACACACACACACACTCTTTTGATCCCTAACCAAGGCCTCAGACTAATACCTTAGACTCATAGAATCTAAGGATGAGGAGGGAGGTCATTCAGTCTGCCATTTTACCCAGTACAGGAATTCCCAACTCAGCCCTTGCTTGAACACCCCTAGTGACAAGGGCCTCATTACTTTACAAGAAAGGCCATTTTCTTATTAGACATTTATAATTGATAGAGAATTCTTTCTTATAGTAAGCCTATAGTTGCCTCTCTGTAACTTTCATCCACTGCTCATACTTTTGCCCTATGGGCCCACATAGAATAAATCTGCTCTCTTTTCTTTGTGACAGCCATTCAAATATTTGAAGACAGCTGTAATATTCTCTTAAGTCTTTTCTTCTCCAGGCTGTTTAGCCTGGAGAAGAGAACAGCTCCTTCAGGAAAAAAAAAAGACCTATCTATATAAAAATAGCCATAGCAGCTTTTTTTTTTTTCATAAGAGTGAAAAACTGAAAAGAACCCATATGGCCAACAATTGGAGAAAAGCTGAACAAACTGTAGTATACAAATGCCATGAAATATTATTTCATCGTAAGAAATGGCAAATACAAAGGATACAGAGAAATTAGGGAAGTCCTATAGAAAGGAATAGAGTGAAATAAGCAGAATCAGAACCATCTCCATATGAAGAGGACCGCCTGACAATAAAAAATGGTGACTACAGCATAATCCAAAACATAAAGAAAGATCAGAAGAGGCGCCAGAAGCAAATGGAAGCGGTTTTGGGTTATTATTTTGGTAAAGTTAATATATGCCTTTTTAAAAATAAAGCTGTAAGGGGGGAAAATGGCACCTTTAATCATTTCTCATTGGAATCCAGTTTTTCTAGCCACTCTACTCTGAATAGACTCCTGTTTGTCAATGTCTCTCCTAAAATGTGGTACTCAGGAAGAAAATCCTCCAGATGGGCTGTCCAAGCTCCAGAATGATTCCTTAACCTTGGCTACTGGCTCCTCAATGCCTGCCATTAGTTACAAGAGGAGTGGAAAGAGGGTGAGTGTTTCAGGAAATCCCACCTCCATTACGATAAACACAAGTCAGGTCGGTAGCCCAGAAGGTGGTACGTTACTTAACTATGAGCCACTTCCCCTCCCCCCAACCAAGTACCAAAAATCCTTGAGGACCTTCTAGTCTTGGGGAGTGGTCAAAGAGACCTGGATTCCCTTTCCCAGCCTGGCTTTGTGGAACCTTGGGCGGGTCATGCTTCCTCATCTATAAAATGGAAGCCGGTGGTTTCATCATAGGGCTGTTGAGATGGCAGACTGAGTTCTGCTGCATCCTAAGACTTGGGAAGGTGGGGGATGGGATTAGAAAATGATCTTCTCCCCTCCCCATACACATAGTAATGTTTAAAGCTCTGAAGTTGTATGGTTGAAGAAGCTAAGCAGGACATGGGACGTGAGTCACACTTTGGGTTAGGGACTGTGTGCAAATAGTTACCAGGCTTCTGAAGAGCAGCCAAGCATAGTTCCTTCATTCAACTGTGCAAACATTTATTAAGCTCCTACTACAGGCAAAGCATTGGTCCCCAAAGACAAAAATGGAAGAATTTGTATTCTCAGGGAGGTTCCATTGCGTCTTGAAAATACAGTCACACGAGAAGCTGAAGGAAATGAGGGACCAGCTTTTGCCTCTTGTCAGCAACCTGTCCAATTAGTAGTTACGTATGAATTAATTTAGACTCCTAGGGCTCATAGATCTTGCAAACCAAAGGAATCACAAGTGTCGAAAGCAGAAGGATGCTGGAGAGGTGGAAAGAGCCCATTCTGGCTCTTCAGGAGCTCCTCACAAACTGGTGCTGACTGCAGGGCTGACAACAGGCTAGACCCCCCTGAACTTCCCTGTTCTTTCTGGTTACCTTTTCTCTACTTCCCCCACTGACTCCCCTGCCTTGGAAAGAGCCTCTTCCAGTGAATCAACAGAGGCTTCTCCTATTAGGAAGAAAGGGAAGCAAGGGGCCTCAGTCATTACAAACTGCATAAAACAGCACCCTGGTTGTTTTATGACCCTTTTGTGTACAATTATCGCACCCAGCTTATATCCTCTAGAGATCCTAAAACTTGAAGACCCAAGAACCAGACATATTTTAGTGGCGTTGGGTTTCTATGCCAATGTATCTCTCCTTCCCAGAGGAGCTTTTAGAATGCGGTAATTTCCCCAGTCAAGACCCAGGAGTTAACATGGCATAGTATCAAGAACAGTTGATTTCAAATTACAGAACCTGAGTTCAAATCCCACCTGTACTATTTACTATCATGGCTACCCTGGGCCAGTCATTGGAATTCTTTAGACCTTAATTTCTTCATCTGTTGTTGGGTTAGATGACTTCTAAGATCCCTTTCAGCTCTAAAGCCATAATCCAGTTTGCACAGCCCCAGTCAATTCCCTTTCCCTCTCCTGTCCTATTTCTTCTTTTGTAAAATGAGGGGGATGAGCTATGTTATCTACAAGCTTGCTCCATCTCTCAATTCTACGAGTTTTTAGAATTCTAGATCTGGAAGGGACCGTGCAACATTGACTGTTAGAGTTTAAAGGGTCCATCTAACACAGAACGACAGAGATGGAAAAGACCTTAGAGGACAGAGTATCATAGCTGGAAAGAACCTTGGAACAAAATGTCAGAACTGGAAGCAACTATACAGCAGAATGACAGTCAGGCATTTATTAAGCACACTACGATGTGCTAAATGTCAGAGATGGAAGGAACCTTAGAAATGCTCTGGGCCAAATCCTTTATTTACAAAGGAGGAAACTGAGTCATGGAGACAAGGGATTCATGGTCACATGTTAGCCTCTTTCGGCCCCTACCCGTCTCAGAGTGGGGGGAACCAAGAACATTCCCTTTCCAGAGCTATGTGTAGAAGCAGGAATAGTCTTGGCTTTTCCTTATCTCTATTTTTTCTAATGGTCCAAAGAGCTCTCTCCTTATACAGGTCTGCCTAGAAGCAAGTGATGCTGCCTGCTCAGCCAATGGGATGCCAGGACTCTGCACCTGAACCAAGAACTCCCCTTCCTCCTTGTCCACTGAAGTGGGAGAGCGGTGGCAAGATCTGAGTTGGGTATTTCCAACTTGGACTTTCACTTCTACTAACTGGGTGGGTTGGCCTTCCCCCTGAACGAATCAAATTCTTCTTCAGCATCAGTTTGAAGGGCTGGTCTGGGTGTATCAGGGTCAGAGAACCCAGGGCAGCAGAGGAAGTCAGACTAGCAGCAGCTGAAGTCTCTGTGAGGGGTGAACCAGCTGCAAACACCATGGAGGACCAGAGAGACCTCATCTCCAACCACGAGCAGCAGCCCATGCTGGGAGGAAGCGCCGGAGGACAACAACGGTACAGAAATTTTAAAAAGAAAAAAAATCTTTCTCTATAAAATCTCAGAGTAGCAAGGGACCTAGCAAATCTAGTCCAATGTGAAATGTCTATATGTTTGTATAGCCAGCTATATAGGCAGAGAGAGAGAGAGAGAGAATGAATTTTCTCCTAATCAATGAACAGAGCCAGCTAAAAGGATGCGAGGTGCTCTCAGCTGGGACTCAAAACAGATGATTTTCTTTGGAGGTTTTCTCCTCCCCTTCCTCTTTCCAGAGTCTCCTATTCCCTTGTTTTAGAAGCAGTTTGGGCTGGTGGGTCGTAAGTATCATAAATTCAGAGTTGGAGAGGGCCTGGGTTTGATCCTTTCACTCTACAGGTGAGGTAGTGAGTAGCAGGGCCAGGGCTCATATGGGGGCCCCGCCGCTGCCTCCTTTGTTAGAAGTGCATGGTTACTGAGGATGCCTGGGTATAAAGCCCACAGCGCGCATTTGTAACAGCAATCTAAGGTTTGTAAAGTGCTTTCTTCACAACCATTCTGTAAGGCAGGGAATATGAGCATTATTCTCACTTTACAGGTTTCTAGAAGGGAAAGCTATGGCTCTCCTCTTTACTCTTAGTGCTTCCATCTTGCCTCTAACTCCTTTCTGAATCTCAGGGGACTCCCCACCCCCTACCCCCAATCCTGACTCCCTCAGAGTTTTCTTGGCCCAAACCCTGGGGACTTGCTATTTATCTGGGGACTTTCTTCTAGGGTGCTGCTTCCTCAGACCTCCTTATCGTGGCTTCCCAAGGGAGGAATGAGCTTTCCTCCTCCCCAAAACTCCCATCTCTAATAGTAGCCCAAGCCAGTCCCTCTTTCCCTTCTCCTCCGCCTTCTGTTGCTTGGATTTCTTCAAGCCAAGCTCTCCTGTGGGGCATCCCCCTCTTAATTCTGACTATAACACTCAGGTCATTGTATGTGGTCTCTTTCATTCTTCTAACTCCACTAAAGTACTGTTGACCTTTTTAGGAGGTAAGACAATGGGAACAGAATCCCCACCCTCACCCCCGCCTGCAAGCTAGCGCTTTTAGACAGTAACCCCCCAAAAATCTCTTCTTCCGTGGCTAGTCAATCAGAGAGTTCGATAGGTATGACGTCAGCTGTAGCCAGGCAGATGGGGGTTTTGAAGAGGCCAAAAGAGTTGGTGTTCATGCGAAGCTCAGAAGGTTGAGTTTCTACCAAGCAACCAGACAGACAGCTGAAGTCACGATCTGTGCAAGTCCCCCCATTTTGAGCCTGCATACAGAAAGGAAGATCGCTGGAATACCACGGTTACCAGGGTGACTCCTTAAGTCCATTCCAGGCTCAATATATGACCAGCTTTCCTCCTATCTGTGTCCAGCCTCAAACCATCTTCACCCATTCTTAATCAACCAACTGCTAAAGCCTTTTTTTTAAAAAATAGGATAAGAGATAAATAAGGGGCGTATACATTTGTTCATGTCCTATGAATACGAAAATCGGAAAAAACAGATTTTTAGAGGTTTGGTTTTTTTTTTAACCATACAAATGTTTGCTTAAAGAAGGGAATAGGTTACATAACATTTAGAAAAAAAAAACCCACCCACATTTTACTATACTTAAAAAAAAATGATGGAACCAGAGCTGTGAAGGTCCTTGGTCACTACAATTTCATTTTTCAAAAGGGAAACTGAGGTCCAGAGAGGGGTCTTACTTAGGTCTGCTAACTCCCAAGCCTGGGCTCAAAACTAATTATAGTGTGAACACTCAGATTCATAAAACCTAATTTAATTTATATCATCTACATACTAATTATAACATGATCTATCAGAGTTATAAATTAATGTCCAGAGAAGACGTTGCATGTTATTTTTTGAAAAGATTTTTTAAAAAAACATTTTAAACTTAATTGCGGGTTTGCTCTGTTTATTCCGAGATCATCTGTGAAATCAGGAGCCTTTCAGAAACAGTTCTACCTAGCAATTTATGATGTCACTAACCAATCTAATGTTCATTGGTTATTGGGTTCTGTAGTCTGGGTTTCCTTTTTTGGGAGGTGGGGGGTGGGGGTGTGGTGTGGGTGGGGAGGATTTGGAAGACTGCTAGGGAAGACTGTGGGGGGGAGGGGTAGAAAAAGGAAGGAAGCTGGATTAGAAGTCAAGCTAGAAAAATCTTCTCTGACTCCCCAGAGATTGTGTTCTGAACCTAAGCAGGTGGATAAAAAGATCAAGTGACATTGCACACCTTTACCAACACATTTTTGAGAAAAAAAATTAAGTTAAAAAAAAAGTTTTACTAAGCATTAGGAAGGAAGAATGGTTTACATTCTGCTCAGGTCCTAGTGAGGAAAATAGCCTGACTAGCACGAGAAAAGCATGTACAGGATTTTGGGGAGATACAAGTGGAAGCCAGAATTTAGGGGACCTTGTATGGTGGGACAGTGTTTAGATTTGGATCACAAGACCATAGCTTTAGAGCTGGGAAGTAATTTACAGGTCATCTATAACATCCTCATTTTACAGATAAGGAAACTGAGGCCAAAGAGGTTAAATAATTTGGCCAGAGTGCCAGAGGGAAGGCAGTGGTGGAGCCACTCAAATCCAAGCTGGCTGATGGCAAATTGTGTGCTTTCCACCACCAAACCCCATCGCCTCATCTTGTTTGAAATAAACTCAACTAGGATTGGGAGGGAGAATGGTGACAGTCTTGTTGATGGAACTTACCTGGGCAAAGAAATGACACTTTCCCCCAATTTAAAAGTACCTATGGGAGCCTATTCGTTCTCTCAGCCTCACCCAAATTCACTGAATGAATAATGATTGATTTTTCTCTAATTTGGTTCCTTCCCTTCCCCCATTACAAGGCATGTTTCTCCCCCTTCAAATCCCCTTTAAAATGAACACTTGGAGGCTCTTCAAACTTCCTGGGTCTGGGAAAAAAGAAAAACCAAAACACACATCCACATACCCACACCCACACATCCACACCCCCCCACACAAAGGGGAAGCTAAGTGGCACAGTGGATAGAGCACTGGTCCTGAAGTCAGGAGTATCTGAGCTCAAATCTGGCGTCAGTCCAAACACTTGACACTTACTAGCTGTGTGACCCTGGGCAAGTCACTTAATCCCAATTGCCTAAAAAAAAAAGAGAAAAAACCACATAAACTTCCTGGGTCTGGTCAGGTACCCAGAAATTAGTCAGGCAGACAAATCAGAACAAGATTTGACTCATGATGTCATAGATTACTAGGTAAAAAGATTTTCTGAGAAGTTCCCAACCGGGGATGTTGCTAGAATGAACTTTGCACTGGGTCCTCCAGGGGGAGACCTGGTCAAGTTGAGGACCTAGGGTGGGACTGGGTTTATCAGAAGCCTAAGGCATAATCTCCACATTCCAGGGTTTGTGTTGAGGTAACAAAGGCTCATAAGATTTGGAGTTGGGACCACAGAGATTGTAGGGTCATAGATTTAGAAACAGAAGGGGTCTCAGAGGCTACCCAGTCCAACCTCATTTTGCAGATGGGGAAGCTGAGAGTGAAGTTAACTGACCATGGTCAGAACGGGGATTAAGTGGCAGAGTGAAGATTTGAACCCAAGTCTGCCGATTCTAAATCCTTTGCGATACCAAAGCAAACCATGTGTTTTTTTTTTTTTGCTAGCAAAAGTGAGGGTGAAGGTATGTTTGAATGGAGAAACATTCATATCACCCTCCTAGGGACTGGTGGGGTAGTAGTAAGGACACTATACCCATCTAAGATGATCCTCACAAATACTTTTGGAGTGGAGTGGATGAACTCCTAAGCACCACAGCCTGGGGAGGGGGGGCAAAGTTAGTGTAGTTCTTATTCCTAAAAACACAGATGAGTTAGGAGGGGGGTCATGCACATACATACACACAAACATGCATTCACATATGCTCATAGGAGAAGAGATTCTGCATCTGGTCTCCTTCCTTTTTTTAAACCCTGGGAGGTTTTGCCCTTTTTTCCCCCGTAAGGTGGACAAAAGGGGCAGTATCCTTCACTCCCAAACTAGACAGTGACCCCAAAATAATCTGAGTGCTTCAGGCTAATCAGAGAATCAGATAAGTATGACGTCAGCTGTAGCTGGGCAGATGGGAGTTTTGAAGAAGCCAAAAGGGTTGATATGCTTGGGAAGCTCAGAAGGTTAAGCAGAAGTAACCAGATAGGCAGCTGAAGTCATGATTTGTGGAAGTGGAGATATAACAGCATGATTAATAATAATTCACAAGATGATTTTGAGCCACCTCCAAAAACAAAACTCTGCATAATACACCCCAAAGAGGTCACCCAGCCTTTGCCTAAGGGCTGTAATGAGGGGTAAAATCCCCAGACTAATTGAAGGTTGACCTAAATGACCTGGGAGGTCCTTAAGAGCAAGCCTCTCTTCATATCATCTATGCCTCTTGCATAATGAACACTAAATAGATCCTTGTTGACTCTGAAATTCCTCCTAATTCTGATGTTTTAGAATTCTGTGCTGCAGACAGAACAAGGTTGTCTATCTCTGTTCCCATCATTTGCCAAGTCCTTACTCCAGTACTTGGGTTCCAGGCTGAATTTCCTACAGTAAAGTTTGCTTTGTTTTATATTTGAGGTGTTTCCAGCTTCTGGGGGGGGGAGCAGTTTCTTGTCTCTCCAGGAAAGGGTGGGCTGCAGGTGGAGCAGTCTTTGGCACTGTTCACAGTTCCAGTTCTTATGGCCTTGGTCGTCTATGATTCCTCCTGTGAGGAGAAAACACCTGAGATTGGGCTCCTCCTGCTGCTTACCTCCAAGCCTGCCCCCGAATCCGGTCACAGAATGTCAGAGCTGCAAGGGACCTTAGACAGCATCAGGTCCAAGGGTTCTTAACCTGGGATCTGTAAACTCATTTTTAAAAACATAAATGGGTAGATAGATATGATCTAGGTGGATAACTGCATTTCAATATAATTTGTTTCCTCTGCAACCCTATATATTTATATTTTATGATTTGAAAAATAAATATTATTCTGAGAAGGTTTTACCAGACTGCCAAAGGGGTCCATAGTTCTAGTTCCACCTTCTACAGGAAGCCGTTCCCAACCCTTCTTAATTCCAGTGCCTTACCTCTGCTAATTATTTTCTAATTAACCTGCATGTGTTCGCTTTGCATATATGTATTTACATGTTGTCTACCTCATTAGACTGTAAACTCCTTGAAAGCAGGAACTATTTTTTGCCTCTTTTTGTATGCCCAACACTTCACACAGTGCCCAGCACATAGTAGGTGCTTAATGTTTATTGATTGGTTGCTAGTCCACTTCCCAGGACTATACATTTATGAGAAGCTTCTCCTTCCCCCTCCCATGAGGATTTCAGTTCCTCATGGAGCTGTCTCCCCCTCCCCATACTTCTCCTTTCCAAATATCACAGGCTCTTTTCTAGCCCCCCCCCTTCTCCATTTCCTTCCCTTTTCGCATTAACTTGGATACTTCTACCTTCTCCTTTGAAGAGGCTGGAATTTTCCCTTTCATTTCTGTACTCTGCCTTGCCCCCTCCTCTCTTCTCACTCTGTAGCATAGGATTGAGCCTTTCTTCACCTAGCCAAGTGACAGAGAAGAGAATGGTCCATCCATATTCTAGGACCTTAAGATCAGATAATCACAACATGTCTGGATGAGAAAGGGCCTTTGAGGTCACCTTGTCATACTGCAGAGGATGAAACTGAAGCCTAGAGGTGACAGGGCTTGCATCCAGGTGTCCAGATTCCCGAATTCAGGGCTCCAGTCTTGTACATGACCTCTTTCCCGATCCCTTCCACCTCTCTAAGCATCCTTTCTATCCTAGCAGGTCCTGTAACCAGGGAGCCTTTTACACTGGCTTCTCTGTGCTGATGGCCTTGCTCATTGCTGGCCAAGGTGCGACCATCTACTTTGTGTACCAGCAGCAGGGGAGGTTGGACAAGCTTACTGTCACTTCTCAAAATCTACAGCTGGAGTCCCTGAAGATGAAGCTCCCTAAGCGTGAGTCTGCTTTTCCTCCTTCCCTTTCCTCTGGCTTAGGTCAGGGGTGGGGAACCTTTGGCCTCAAAGCCACATGTGGCCATCTAGGTCCTCAAGTGCAACCCTTTGACTGAATCCAAACTTCACAGAACAAATCCCCACCCCTGACTTAGGGAAATGAGTGCAAAGTCATGAACAAGGAAAAGTGCCCTCATATGAGATTGGGGCCTGAGTATTTTCTGGGACTGCCAAACTCCATCTCTCTTGACCTGATCTTGGACTTGGAGCCCCTTCCTACGACTCAAGTCTCTCTTCCTCTTGCAGCTTCCATCCCAATGAGCAAACTCCGAATGGCTGCACCCCTGCTCATGAGGGAACTGGAGCCCGAGACCCTCCCATCTATGGTAAGGCCCTCACATTGCTCTCACTGTCTCCTACCCTCACCACCTCCCCTTGGAGGAAATATTTGATCAGATGAATTGATGGTAAAAAGGCTGGGTTAACAATGATTTGGGGGCTGGGATGGGGAAAGAGTTAGGGAGGTTACAAATACTATTTGGTTATTGTGGGAATACCTGAGTGGGGGTGGGAGGAGGGTCCAAGGAGACCTAGCACCTAAGGGAGAGGACTGTCTCAAAGGACATTTAACAGGCTCCATTGTCTTTGGTGGTGAGGAGGGGGTGGCTACTGTTTCTCCTTCCAACTTTTGGCAGACCCCCAAGGGTCGGAGCAGTCTCCAGGCAGTTTCTCAGTTCCTCCTTATTGCTAGACTCATTACTCTTCCTTTTCTATTACAGGACTTGACCAAGATTGGAAATAATACCGAGGACCAAGTGAAGTACCTGTTACTGGTAGGAGACCCCATTAGCAGCCCATCTTTCACTCCCACCTACGAAGGCATAGCACCCAGGCTGGGGGCCTAGCTCCACTCCTCCCTAAGAGGACGGACTTTCTCATCCCTAGATTCCATCACTCACTCCTCTGTTGTGGATCACTTAGGAGAAGCAGGGTATCAAGGGTTTATGCTTTACTTCAGTATGGATCAGGTCTTCCAACACTGGAGGAAAGAAGTCAGGTGAATAAGAATTTAAGTGCCTGCTATATGGCAGGCACTGTGCTAAGTGCTAGGGATACGTAGAAAAGCAAAAACAGTCCCTGCCCTCAAGAAATGTATAGTCTAATGGGGAATGCAAACTATATACAAATAAGACACATATAGTATAAATTGGAAGATAATCACAAAAGGAAGATATTAGTATTAAGGGGGACTTTGAAAACCTTCCTGTAGGTAGGATTTTAGCCGAGTCTTGAAGGAAGCTCGGAAAGCCAAGAGGTGAAGGTTCAGAGGAAGAGAGTTCCAAGCTAATGAAAATTCATGGAATCAGGAGATGAGAGTATCGTGCTTAAGGAATAGCAAGAAGGCGAGGATACTTGTGGGAGAGTAAAGTCCAAAAAGACTGAAGAGGTAGGAAGGGGTCAGGTGTAAAGGGCTTTACAAGCCACAGGATTTTGTATTTGATCTTGGAAGTAATAGGGAGCCAGGGAGTTTATTGAGTAGGGGAGTGACATGGTCAGATCTTCACTTTTGGAAGATCACTTTGGCAGTTGAGTGGAGGATGAACTGGAGTGGAGAAAGACTTGAGGCAGGGAGACTAACCAGAAGGCTATTTCAATAGTCTAGGCATGAAATGATGAAAAGAGGAGGGACCCTGTCCCCTCTGACCTTTTATTAACCTTCCCTCTGATTTCCTGGCTTTTTGTAGCAATCTGACCCCAGAAGGTCTTTCCCTGAGCTGACCAAGAGCTTTCAGGAGAACATGAAACAACTCAAGAAAAACATGGAAAGCAAGAACTGGAAGGTCAGGAATCCCTTATCCTGCCATTTCAGGACTACAGTCAGGGGTGGGTGGGTGGGGGGAAGGTATCTGGGGAGAAATTTGGCTTTAGATAGGGCTAAATCAGACCATAGAGGATTTCTTTCTATCTCTCAGAAGAAATGATTTCCCTGTCCTCTGATCAAATCTCTGCCCCATCTCCCACCTCCAATTCCAGCCTCTCTACCTTCCTCTTCACTGTCCCCTTGAGGTAGGACTGCATGATATAAAGGGGCTTTTGAATCTTTTGAGTGGAGCTGAAAGGTGGTTTTCTCTCTCTCTCCACATCCCAGAATTTTGAGAACTGGATGCACCAGTGGCTTCTGTTTGAGATGAGCAAGAAGCCCAATGAAGAGAAGTTTGAAGAAAAGATCGAGCCTTCTCAGAAAGGTATTAGGGAAGGAGGTTGAGGGAACCTCTAGGAGCTTCTCCCCCAGCTAGAACTGCACATACACCCCATTCCCTTCCCCACCCCCCCAATCCCCAATACACACATTTAACAAGTGAATTCTTCCCAGTCTATGGGCTCAGGTATTAAGATAGTGGGAGAACTGAGAGGTAAAGGGGGTTTTCCTTATGATATAGCTGGGGATGGGTGGGAAGAGATCCTGGGTATTTCCACCAACCTGTTAATTGTTCAGTTGACTTGAGCTTTTCCCACAATTCCATGCTTACAATTCTAGCATTCTTCAACCTTCCTGGCTCATGTGTGTGAAACACTTGGTAATTTAGAGACCACTTTGCTCGCCATTCCGTGAGGTAGTAGGGGGTCTAAGCGTTGCTGTCGCTCCAATTCAGGCCTTAGAATTTTGGAGTTGGAAGGGGTCTCAAAAGTCTGATCTATATCTGAGGAGGAATTTCTTTTACAACAGCCTTGACAAATGGTCATCTGGTCTTCTCTTAAAAGATCTCCAGTGAAGAGGAACTCACTATTTTTAGTCCTAGAGTAATTTCCCATCCTTTTTACACCCAAAAGAATGGAGGCCTTCTGATTCCACACGTAGGGCTCTATTACATGGCTAGCATTGGGTCTGTTTAATTGAACTTAGTCTTTGTTTATTAAATGCCTACTATGTTCAAGGTCCTATGCTGTAATCTGGGGATACGAAGAAAAGCAAGACAGTCTACTGCCAGGCCTGTTCTTCTATGGCCTTTTGCTTTCTGGGTCTCAGGTTCTGTTCTGTACAACAGGCTTATTTACCATCATGACTTTGGGAAGTAAGAGGTCTATAAAATGAAGAAATTGGACTATCACAGGAATCAGAGAGTTGGAGGGGACCTTGGAAGCCCTGTACAGTATAAGAAGGCCCTCTACAAATTTTCCCCCAAACGATCATCTGTTCTTTTCTTGAAGATCTCTAGTATGGGGGAACCTACTATTACCAGACAATCCATTTCACTTTTGGAAAGATAATTGGTAGTTTTTCCAATACTTGTCTCTTAGCAACTTCTGTCTTTACTCTTATGTCCTTTGGAGGTAAAGCAGAGTCTAATTCTTTTTTCATATCACAACTCTCCATCAAGGATATCACTGTTATGGACATAGTTGAGTCTCAAAATGTTACCCAGAGATGAGAAAGTAGGTACGTGGGTCTTTAGTCACTTGCGTATGTGTCTCCCTATTTTATGTTTCACTTGATGCATGTAGTCATTGAACGATCTTCAAACACCGGCACCTTTTTCTGGACGTGAGCCTATAAGGACGCTTTATGCTCTGGTGAATAAACTGGCATAGAAGTGGTGGGCTCTTAGAGTCCTTGCTTTGCTCAGCTGCTTGTTGCCAGCTGTTGCTGAAGATATAGTCTGCTCTGGAGAATCACATGAATCTTCTCTATTCAGATTTGCATCAAGTATACCTTAGATATGTGTATGGACCATTTTGTGGAGATGATCAGACTGGATTACTTTGGGGTCCCTTTCAGGTCTACAATCCTATTATTTTCAGAGAAAGAGTTAGGGTTCAGAATTCCACCACTCAACCTACTCATGCTATAGTCACTGGGCTGCTCTCAGCCTATTTCCTTGTCCATGTAATAGATGCCAATTAGATCCTGGTATGGAAGGTTCTAGGCCAATCATAATCCGGGTTCTGCTTGGTGCATGCGTCACCTGGCCCTGGTGAGAAGCTGTAGAACTTGAGGCAGGGGCCCCGTACGGGCACTTGAGCCAGCTCACCATCTGTCTCCCAAACCTATTGCTTCAGTTCTGACCAAGTGCCAGCTTGAGGCCAGCTGTGTTCCTCCCGTCCACCCGGGCAAGTTCTGCCCCAAGTGCGACGAGAATGGCAACTATGAGCCCCTTCAGTGCCATGGCAGCACTGGCTTTTGCTGGTGTGTCTACGCCAATGGCACCGAGGTCCCCCACACCAAGAGCCGTGATCGCCATGACTGCCATGGTAAGCATATAGCATGGGGGTAGGAGGTCCTCTTAACCACCATGGCATGGTCAGTCTTGTCTTTCCAGAAACCCTGATGCATAGTAATCTTTTAATTCACACACACACTCACTCACTCTCTTGTTCACCTGTCCATCCAACCCCAGCACTCATTACCGTGCCCAGTCGTGATGCACAGGTATGGAACCGTCCCAGGTTGAAGCATCTTTTTTATCCCCTGGGCTCCCCTGACCTCCTTTAGGGTAGGGTAAAGGTCCAGTCCCATGCTGGGTCAGTAGGGAACAAGTTGCTTGCTCCACTTTCAGGTCCCCTGGATACTGAAGAGCTGATTTCTTCTGGACTGGGTCTTCCTAAGCAGGTAGGTTAGGGGACCAAGGCAGCTCAGACTCCTGCAAGGTTGTCCCTAACCCCAACCAACCAAACTGATCAGGAGGGGAAGAAAGTGGAGGACACTCAAGAGGGGTGGGGAGGGGAGAAGGTGGGGCTTTCCTGGATAGGGTGGATGCAAGGCTCCTGAGTTGTGAGGCCTTAACCTTTCACCTCTCTTTCTCTCCCTCAGCAATGATCTAAGAGAAATAAGAACTGCAAGGGCTAATCAAACAGTCCCAGACCTGCAAAGTGTGTGGCTACCACTAGAATGCTGATCTGTTTACCCAACTCCAGGATCCATCCATCTGTCCATCCCTTCCTTGTCTTCTTCCCCTGACCCACTCAGCCAGAAACCCCAAATCCCACTTTCTCTGGGGCCCAGGTTAGATCCTCAACTTGATACTCAAGATTGAACCACCTGCCTACGAACAAGAGTTCAGGACAAATCGACCTGCTCCCTTGACCCATGACGGGGAAGTGAATCCCCCTCTCCCCCCATCCCCGCCCTCCAGAGCAGGTACCAAATAATCTACATTTTGGGTTTCAGGGGAGATGTCATCAAGTCAAACAGATCAACTTCCCTTCTCCTGCCCAAGGCCCTCCCTTCTTCCTTCCACAACCTATTCCTGTTTCTCTGTAGCAGTGCCTGGCAACACCACGCTTCTTAATCACATTAACTGGGGAAAGGTGGGGAAGGGGGCGGACGTGTGGGCAAATTTCTTTCCTTTTTCTTGAGTATTACTGTCTAGCTTATGCATCTCCTTCACCCTTGTAAGAAAGGTATTTTCATTTGCTATCTCATCTGCTTGTAAGAAACAGAAGTTTCACATTAAAATAAGGTAGGAAACGGAAATAGTGTCATGTTTCTCTTCGATTCACTCTAAAACACTGAAGGGGACTTAGAAACTGCCTAGTTCAAGGGCTCTTAACCTGGGAGATGGGAGTCCATGAACTTGCTTTCTAATCTATTTTTATAATTATTTCAATATAATTAGTTCCCTTTGTAGTCTTATGTATTTTATTTTATAAATTATAAAAAAATAAAACAAAATACCCTGAAAGGGTGTCCCTAAATCTTCACCAGCCTGTCAGAGAGATCCATGACCTGGAAAAGCTAGCAAACAATTATTAAGCACCTACTATGTGCCAGGGACTGTGCTGAGAACTAAGGATGCAAAGAGGCAAAAGACAGAACCTGCCCTCAAGGAGCTCCCAGTCTAATGGGAGAGACAACATGCAAGCAAACATAAACAAGCTATATACAGGATAAATGTGAAAAGATGAACATAAGGAAACACTGGAATTAAGAGGGTTTGGGTAAGACTTCCTGGAGAAGGTGGGTTTTTAGTTGGGACTTGAAGCCTGGGAGGTCAGTAGTCAGAGCAGAAGAGCGAGAGCATTCCAGGCATGGGGGACAGCTAAAGAAAATGCCCAGTCAGGAGATGGCGTGTCTTGTTTGAGGAACAGCAAAGAGGCCAGGGTCACTGGATCCAAAATTACAAGCTGGGAGGTAAGGTATGAATGGCAGCAGGAAAGGAAGGAGGGGGCTTGGTTACAAAGGGCTTTGAATGTTGGGCAGAGGATTTTTTATTTGACCTTGGAGGCCATAGGAGCTACTGGAGTTTACTGAATAGGGAGCTAGGGTGGGATCTGACCTTTAGTGAAGTCATTTTAGTGGCCGAACGGGGGACGGACTGGAGGCAGACCCACCAGCAAACTATTGCAATAGTCCAGGCATGAGGTGACAGGGACTTGCATGAGGGTGGTGGCAGTGTCAGGGGACAGAAGGAGGTGTATTTGAGAGATGTTGCAAAGGTGAAATCAGCCACTCTTATGAGTGTCTAAGTGACCTTGGGTAACTCACTTCACGGCTGCCTGCCTCAGTTTCCTTATCTGCAAAATGGGGATAATAATAGCATCTACCTCCCAGGGTGGCTGTGAGGATTAAATGGGAATATTTGTAAAGCGCTTTGCCAACTTTAAAGTACTATATAAATGCTAGCTATTATGGTTGTTATTAAGAACCCCTGGCTCTAGTCCAATACCTATCTTACAAATGGAGATTGAGGTCCAGGTACCTAGCTCATGGCCACAGAGATAATTAGGGAAGTGGTAGAGAAGGAATCTAGTCTCTTGGTTCCTAGTTAAGCTTTCTTTTTCTTATGGAAGGAAATATGTGTAATAAAAAGGTTTTTTTTTTTGCCCTTCAAACTTTGCCATGTGATTACCTTATTACTTAATTTGATCCTTGCAATAAATTTGGTAAAAGTAGGTACCATGAATATTATCCCTTTCTTACAGATGAGGAAACTGAGGCTCAGGGGTTATGTCTTGCCCAAGGTCACACAGATAATGTCAAAGTTGGGATTATTTTTTCCCCTAATTCAATTTTATTTTCAGGTCCACATTACTTTCCTCCTCACTTGTTATCCCCAACTTAGAAAACAAGAAAAACAAAACCTGTTACAAACACACTTAGTCCTTAGGTGGAGACCTTTTAGAATCCCTGGATTTAAACTGGACTCAACTCAAGCATCGTCTTGTATATGAAGTCTTCCCGTCTCCTCTCCTTCCATTTTAGTGCCACCGCCTTTCCTAAATTATCTTGCATCTATTTTACATATGTACACAATGTCTCTACTTGCTAGATAAGAAGCTTCTCTTTGTATCCTCCTCACCCAGCATAAAGCAGCCACTTATGGGTGCCTACTGATAGACCCAGAAAATGGAGAAATTTGTTTTGATTTGGGGGATGAATCCCATCACTTTGGTGAAATTAATCCCCACGATAAGGCAATTGATAGGGAATACAGAGCCTCCATTTCTGGACACTGATAAAAGAGGCTGACGACAAATTCAAGTGCTCGATTCTTTCCACAGTGGAACTGAGAAACCTGGGTTCTTAGTCTGGGCTCCCCAATTCATTAGCTACGTGACTGGCCAGGTCACTTCCCTCTGTGGGCCTCAGTTTCCTTCTGACAAGACAAAAACAAGCCTGTCTCCCTCACATGCAAGGAAAGACCACAGCTTGCTTCAATCCCCCCAGTCCTAAGAACAAGGAAATAAAACACCAGATGTTTTTAGTATGCATACTACAGGGTCTCATTAAATTCAGGCTTGGGAGAGCACCCAGCCCAAAGAATCCCTCAGCAGGAATCTCCTCTGTAATACCCCCCAGAATGGATGGACAGCAATGGGGAGTTCCCTTTCTCTCAAGGCAGCTCAATGAGCTTTTGAACAACTTCAACTCTACACTAACTTTCCCTCCTAAAGTAAAAAATAAACCTGCATCACTGGAATGTTTTCCCACTGGTCCCTGTTCTCTCCTCTAAGGCTGAACAAAACAAGTCTAGCTCCTCTTGAAGATAAAAGAAAAGCCGTGCGATCCTCTAATGACAGCTGTGAAGCTTTGCCTTAAGTCTTCCCTTTTGGGTTAAACACTCCCATGTTTCTTTAATTCATTTTCATTACGTGGGCTCTAATCTCCTTCCTAGTCTGGTTGCTCTCTTGCCAACATCCTTCCTCAAAAGAGGGTCCCCAGCACTGGACCTACTCAATGAGGTCTGCGGGCTCGAATGCGAAGATTATCACCTCTTCTGCTCTGCAACTAGGTTTCCATCAGGGATTTTTCATATTCACTTTGAGGTCACAGACAGAATCAATTGTTTCTTATGTGAACTGCCGAAAGGCAACATGGTATGGTGTACAGTGGTGGGCATAGAATCAGGAAGAACTGGATTCAAACTCAGTGGCTGCAGGCAAATCATCAGACCTCCCTTATGGTACCTGCTTCAAGGGGTTGTGAAACTCAGTTGAGATAAATTTATGTAAAGTGCTTTTCAGGCTTTAAAGATCTATGTAAATATTGGCCATTGTCATCATCTTGTGCCAAAAAAAAAAAAAAAGACAGTGCTCCCTCAAATGGGAGCACTCCTTTCTTCTGGCTGGGATATGCCTGCTTTTGTCCACTACCTTAGTGCATTTAACAGGTCCTCCCACCAATTACAATAACCAGTCTGGGCCAGGACCCTTCCCCTCCTCCCCAACCCACACACAGCAGTCAGGGACTCTTCCACACCAATCTTTTATTTGCAGAGTTCTGTATAAACACGTTAGATAAAAAGTTAAGACACAGGAAAGCCACTCAAGTGCAGCCACCTGCTTGAGACCAAGATTCCATGAGGATGAGCTCTGTCTCCACAGGGGCAGCCGTGGCATTCCCCAGGTCTTCTAGGCAAAGTTTGGAAGGAAAGGCTCTGCAGCCAAGGAGTACCAAAGGAATGTCAGTGGGAGAAAGGGAGAGTCTCTCTTTTAAAAAAATACTGTACATATATATATATATACATACATATACATACATATATAAATATTGGGTATAATCTCTATGGAGATCACTCAATTCATTAGGGACACATTTGAGTGCAGTGCGCTCTCTCGGTGCCCTAGTGCGCTCCTGCTGGATCCACTGGCTCACGGGTCATGCTGGGATTTGGTTGGGTTTTTTTTCCCCCAAGTGGGAGGTTGACATCGACATTCAAGACTTGGCTAGAGAAATCCTAGAGGAAAGAAAACACATAAGACTTTCTGGCTTTTGTATTCTTAAAAACAAAACAAAACAGAGGAAAAGAATGAGCTTATCCCACTGTGACTATAAAAAATGGGGGTGGAGGTGGAGCAGCTTCACTAATTTTCTGTTTCTATTCCTTATCTTTAAATCCATATCCACAAACCCTGACCTGGACCTCTCCCCTTGCCTTTCCCAACCCTTATCCATAAGGTAGTCTTTGTTGTTATAGGGAAAAACAACCCACCAGAAAGCAAGAGCAAGGACCCAAATGGCTAAAAGGATACTTGCTGCAAATGAAAAGGACATTATCAAGTCCAGTGGAAATCAGAGCAACAGCCTCGAATGGTCTGCTTTTCCCTATTATCTGAGAGAAAAACAAACACCTCATCTCTAATGGGCAAATAGCCCCAAAATTGTGGACAATGTACAAAAGAGGAAATACAAATGGTAAATACATATTTGGAGAACATGTAAAAATAAATCAAAGAAATGTGAATTAAAGCAACTTTGAGGTACTATGCAGCACCTGTCTAACACTAACTGGCACAATTAATTTAAAAAATCTCAGTGTTGGCATGGCTGTGGAAAAACAGCTTAAGGTCACGTTTGCTGGTAACAGCAAATTACGAAAACCTTTCTGGAAATGGCTCTGGCAACAAACTACAAAGGCTACAAAGATGATCCTATCCTTTGACCCAATATTCCCACTACTGGGACCATATCCTGAGTTATCAATAAGAAAAAAAAGCTGGAAACAAGTGAGCAACAGCTAAACAAATTATGGTATGAGTTGTGGTAAGTTAATATAATGGAATATGACAATAAGCTTAGATTCATAAAGAAATCAAGACCTTGACGATGTGATGCAAAGCAAAGAAGGCAGAACAGAACTCCCACCAACTACGAGTGATAAATAAAAAAGGTCAAGGAGACCCCAGAGGAAGTAACCCGCAAGTTGCTCCTCACATGTGATGTATCAGAATGCACTGATTTGGGGGTAAACAGTGGGTTTAATGTTTAGACACACAGGAAAGCAGAGTAAACTTGTAGGCCCACTCTGCTGTTGGCCAGAGCTCAGGACCTCTGCAGGGCGTCTTTCTAGGACACTCCAAAGGCTCAAGGGGGCTGTGCATCCAGGATCACAACCTGAGAAGCAGAATTTTTTGAGGAGGGCAGAGAAAAAGCTACTCTCTACTCAGTGAGGCCCAATGCTTGGGGAAATGAGCCACAAGTATGTCCACATAGGGTTATCCCACCCAGAGTACACAAGACAGGAAGACCGTTTATTACCTGCTGCTTAATGCCTCTCAATCTATTTGTTTAACTTTCTTTTTCTGCAGAGGAAAAAAAAACAGAGAAATGTACAAAAGTCATAAAGGCCGGGGGGCAGGTTTTCTATCAAATCTAGGTGACGCTGACAGTGCTTTCTAATGTGGATGAAACAAGTGCTGGAGAGAGAATCGGGACCCAACAGACCCAGGCGGGCAGACATACAAGCCCTCCATCGGGCCTTCTTGAAGAACTTCACGTCTTTGGAGGATGTGGTTAACATCCTTGTTTTTCTCTGCCTTGGGTCCTCAGTCTTTTCTGGCTGCTGTCAGCTACAACCTGCTGCCTACCATATGTGCACTGCTAGTACAAATTCAGGACCCTCAGAAAAGAACCAGGAGCCGAGAAGGAATGAATGAGGGTCAATTTAACACAACAAGTGCTTACTGAACACTTACTAGGTACAAGGTACTGTGCTGGGTGCCAGGATGGGGACTGGACCTGCTTTTTCATTGATGCAGAGCACTCCCAGATGAGGAAACTCCTACTGCCAATTTAGGCTGGCACCTTCTCTAAATCTTTACAATCTTATAGAGTTCCCTAGAGCAATGGTATCAAACTCATACAGAAACAGGGGCCACTACACTGAACATAAGGATGCTTGCTGGCCACAGACTGACTTAGAAAACTACCTATTAACATCACCTGTGTTCTATGGCATTTTTATTAATTCTGTTAAATATTTCCCAATTACATTTTAATATGGCTCTACCATAATATGGTAGCTAGGTGGTACGGTGGATAGAGTACTGGGCCTGAAGTCAGGAATGCTCAGCTTCCTGAGTTCAAATCTTGCCTCAAGACATTTACTAGCTGTGCAACCCTATTTGCCTTAATTTCCTCATCTGTCAAATGAGCTGGAGAAGGAAATGGCAAACCACTCCAGTATCTTTGCCAAGAAAACCCCAAATGGGGTCATGAAGAGTTAGACACAACTGAAATGATCAAACAATGACTCTACCACCCTTGGGGATATTGAGGATCACACAAGCAGTGTGTATCAGAGATGAGATGTGAACCTAATCTTCCTGGCTTTAACAAGAGTTAAAATGAGACAGTCCCTGCTTTCAAAGAGCTTATACACTATTTACTTCCTTCTGGTACTAATGGTGGAAGCAAACACATGATAATCTTCAACAACTGGCTAAAACAGAATTCATACCAGAAGGTTTGGACTCATCAACCCAGGCTCCATGATCTTGTGAAAGAGTCCCTGAATTTGGGTTCAAATATTGGTGCTATCCCTTACCAGCTATAAGGCTTTGAATAAATTATTTTATCTCAAGGAATTATATCTTTCTTATCTATAAAATGGGGAGAAACATGATATGGTATAAAGGTTCTTAAACCTGGAGCCTGTGAATTTATTTATTATTCTGAAAACTATTCAGTATAATTGGGTTTTTTTTTTGTAATCCTCAATGTTGTGCATTTAAAAGCATCATTGAGAGAAGGGGCCCATAAGTGTCATCAGATTGCCAAAGAGATCTAGGACAAAAATTAAGTTAAGAAACCCTGGTATAGTGGAAGGCCAGGAGACCTATATCTGAGCCCTGCTGCTAACACTGACTGTAGGTGTGACCTGAGACAAGTCATTCTTCCCTCTCTCTGGGCTTGTTTACTAATCTGTGAAATGGCGACACTACTGCCAGTACTCGCTATATATCATAGGATTAGCATAAAGAAAGGCCATGTTAAACCTCAGAATACTCTGTGTGTGTGTGTGTGTATGTGTGTGTGTGTGCGCGCGCGCGTGCTATTGTTATCATCAAAATAACAGCAGTATTGGAAGGAGTTTCCTCCTTGGGAATTCCCTAAACCAATAGAATCATAGGTCTAGTCCAAAAAGATATAACATTAAAATAGGGATAATGATATTGTGCCAAGGATCTCACAGGGGTATTGCAAGAGCTCAATGAGATAATAGGTGTAAAGAAATGCCACCTATAATTACTAGCTGAGTAAAGCCAAACACCACACCTGTATTTTCCCACTAACAGAGCTAAAAAATGAATGTGGAATGTGAATGGAGTGAGAGGACAGTGTGGGGTAGTGTGAACAGAGCTGGAGTCTGGGTAAAACTGGTTCACATCCTAATTCTCTTATTTACTATCTGTGTGATGACCTTAGTCAAACCACTCCACCTAAATTACTTTAATACCCCTTTCTGTAAATTAACAAGGGTGAATCTTGGTGGTGAGTTTCATGGTTTCTATGATACTATTTCAATTAAAAAAAATGGATGTTATACCCACTTATGCATAATTATATTGCTCAATACCACAGCTTACCTTTTTCTTCTCTTTCTTGAGGGATACTGAGGCAGGGTCAGGATTTTTGGAAATGGACTGCTTTTTCTTCTTCTTATCCTTTTTGTCCTTGCTCTTTTTCTCTAGAAGTAGGAGAAGAGGAATGACTCCTATAAATAATGGCTATTAGAACTGTCCCTGTTACTTACAGGGTTGGGGCATGAGAAAGCAAGAGGGAACCTGGGATGTCAGAGATTTCAAGAACAAGGTAAAAATTTGAGCCAGAAGGGTGAGGTAGCTTTGGGATTTCATGTGGAATCCACACATACATTTTCACATTCTGTGGCTACTCAGTCACCTAGAGACTAGAGCTAGAAGAAGCAGGAGAAGGCTTCCACAGTTGTGTAGTAGAAAGAGACACTGGACTAAGACGTGAGAGACCTGATGTGCATAACTTTGGTCAAGGCACATCCCCTCTCTAGGTCAGGAAAACAGTATGGCTGGACTCTATGGCATGAAAGGTCCCCTCCAGTCCTGAAAACCTGCACCGGTGTAGGTCTGACTGAAAACTGACAGAAACAGACCCCCTCCTCCTAACCTCCCCTCAAATCAGCGAAGTTCAAAGATCACATGGATCACATGGAAGTCTGCAGACTATTTTTACAAGAGTTGTACGGAACAAGTGGACACAACCTCAGCCACGCTCTACTATAAGAAATGGGAAAGGGCAGTCTGGCAGCAAGGACGTAAGCGATGTCACTGCTGCCAGTCCTTGGGAGCGCCCACCATTTGGACACCATCTTTTTGCTACTGAAAGAACACCATCAGTGGCTTCCCCCTGAGAAGTCTGGGGACTTCTCTGACTCTCGACAGGGAACACGAGGCTCCATGTTCTCACAGGGTCCTGAAAGATAGATTTTAGATGCTGAATATCAGGCACTTACTCTTGTCAGATTTCTTCTTTTGCTTCTTCTCTTTTTTGGTCTTGGGGCCTAGCGTTTTTCCACTTTCTCCCACTGTGACTGTAATGTTTCCTTGTGGCTTCTCTTTGTTCTTCTTGGAGCTATGAACCCCCTTTGGCTTCTTTTCTTTAGCATCACCACTTGCTTTCTCTTTTTTCCCCACCTTGGTAGTCCCAATGGTTTTTTCTTGCAAAGTCTCCCCTTCCTTAGGGACCTCACTCATCAACTTCTTCTTCTTGCTCTTGGGGGCTTTAGCAACAGGGCTGTCTTCTGTCAGTTTTCGTTTTGATTTTGATTTCTTGCTCCCCTTGCCTGACTTTGAGGATTCAGTACTTTTATTCTTCTTTTCTAGCTTCAGCAAGTCACTGAGCATTCTTATTCCAGAGGCCTTGGAGTTGAGAGATGCATTGTTAAGCTCTGAGTTCTCATCAGCACTTGAGATCTGTAGCCGAATTAGAGAAGGGAGGTTGGAAGGATCCATAGACTTTACGGGACTCTGACAGCTGATCCCATGTTTGGGTGAGGCAGGTTTACAATCGACTGCGCCTGACTTGAACCCCTTTCCAATCGACTGATGCCTGGAGACTGAGGTCTTCAATTTTTTCCCTGGAGATCAGGAAAAAAAAAATGGTGTCATGGACTCTGGAATAAAACAGTTTATGTTTGGCCTTCAACTGTCACACATAATATCCAATCAAGCCTCAGGAAACTCACCAGAATTCTTTAATATTGTATCAGAAATGCTAGCTACAGCAACAGGATAAGAAAAAGAAACTGAAGGAATAAAAGCAGGCAACGAGTAAACAAAATGCAGATGATAAGATAGTGTACTTAGAGAAACCTAAAGAATCAAGCAAAAAACTAGCTTCAACAATTAACAACTTTAGTAAAGTTGTAGGTTCTAAAATAACTTACATAAATCAGCAGCATTTCAATATATTACCAACAGAACTTAGCAGAAAGCGTTAGAAAGAGAAATTCCATTTGAAATAACTGCAGATATTAGAAAATACTTAGGAGTCTACCTGCCAAGACAAACCCAGGGACTAAATAAACACAATTACAAAATACTTTTCACGCAAATAAAGACATATCTAAACAAGCGGAGAAATAGTAATTGCTCATGAGTCGGAGCCAATAAAATAAAAACGACAATCCTATCTAAATTAATTTACTTATTCAGTGCCATACCAGAGCACCGAAAATTTATTTTGTAAAGCTGGAAAAAAAATTCATCTGGAAGAACAAAATGTCAAGAATGTCAAGGGAACCAGAGAAAAAACAAGTGTGAAGGAAGGTGGCCGAACAAAGCCAGACTGCGAACTATATTACAAAGTGGTAATCATCACAACAATCTGGTACTGACTAAGACAGCAGTGGATCAATGGAATAGATTAGGCACATGATACTCAGTAGTAAATGACTATTGTAATCTAGTGTTTGATAAACCCCAAGATCCAACCTTTTGGGGCAAGAATTCACCACTGTACAAAAATTGCTAGGAAAACTGAAAATCAGTTTGGCAGAAACAAGGTACAGACCAACAGCTCCCACTATATACCAAAATAAGGTCAGAATGGGTAAACCAGTTAGCTCTAAAGAGGGTGATAAATCAAAAGTAAATTAACAGAGCATGGAAAATTTTACTTGTCAGATCTATGGATAAGGGAAGAGTTTAAGACCAGACAAGAGATACAGAGGATTATAGGAAATAAAACAGATAATTTTGATTACATGAAATTAAAAAAGTTTTGCACAAACAAAACCAATGCAGTTAAAATTAGAAAGATGGTAGGAAACTGGGAAAAAAAATTTACATCAAATTTCTCTGATAAAGGCCTCATTCCTCAAATATATAGGGAACTGAGTCAAATTTATATAAAAATCGGAGACATTCTGCAATTAATAAGTGATCAAAGAAAATGAACAGGCAGTTTTCATAAGAAGAAATCAAAGCTATCTGTAGTCAAATGAAAAAATGCTCTAAATGACTACTGATTAGAGAAATGCAAATTAAAACAACTCTGAGGTACCATATCACACCTTTAAGATTGGCTAACATGATAGAAAAGGAAAACGATAAATGCTAGAGGAGATGTGGAAAAACAGAGACACTAACGCACTGTTGGTAGAGTTGTGAGCTAGTCCATTCTGGAGGGAAAAGGATCTAGATGTACAAAAATATTCATAGCAACTCTTTTTGTGGTGGCAAAGAATTAGATATTGAGGGGTGCCCATCAACTGGGGAACAGCTGAATAAGTGGTGGTATATGATTGTGATGGAACACTATTGTGCTGTAAGAAATGAGGAGTAGAATGGTTTAAAAAAAATTGGGGAGATTTATATGAACTGATACAAAGTGAAGTTAGCAGAACCAGGAGAACACTGTACGCAGTAATAGCAATATTGTAAGGATGACTGATCAATTGTGAAAGACTTAGCTCCTCTGATCAATACAGTGATCCAAAACAATTGCAAAGGACCCGTGATGAAAAACGCTGTCCCCCTCCAGAGAAAGAACTGATAAACGGAGTGCAGACTGAAGCATACTTTTTCTCACTTTATGTTTCTTGCTTTTTATTTATTTTTTGGGGGCAGCATAGCTAATATGGAAATATATTTTACATGATTTCACAGGCATAATTGATATCATATTGCTTGCATTCTCAATGGATAGGAGAGCGCTATGAGGGAGGGAGAGAATTTGGAATTCCAAAGTTTAAAAAATGAATGTCAAAAATAATTAAACAGACAAATAGATAGATAAATAAAAGAGGTAAGTTCCCTGTGAGGAGAGACTGTTTCATTCTTTGTATTTGTATCCCCAGCAATGGTGCCTGGCAAAGAGCAGTGCTTAACAAATGCTTGTGGACTGATGATAAACATTCTGATAGGGATAAAGATCGGATCTGTAATTTCATGGGTACGGACCTAGGTAATTTTATAGCAAACTCTCAGGTGAGGGAGCTCCTTCCATCATTTTAAGATGGTACCTTTCCTGCAACTTAACAGTCTTAGAGAGTCGCTCAGGACACTATGAAGTCTTATCTAAGGTCATAGAGCTAATATGTGTTAGACCCAGGGATTGAACCCAGATTTTCCTGGCTTCAAGGTCAGCTCCCTACCCACTATGTCATGCTGCCCCTTTAAAAACTGTAACACAAAGGAAAATGCACAGACTTCAGGAGGTGTATACAAGCTCAACATAACTTTAGAAGTGCCTAAGTAATACACAAGAATGTGCATCTAAAACAAATGTCTCCCTTCTAAGATTTTATTTCAGGAGACTGCTGGTGAAGATAAAAGGACCCCCAATTTTCCCACCCCCTCTCCCCCCCAAGAGTGTCCATCCCGCAGGGAGCTAGGACTGTCTCCTTTGGCTAAGATTTAAGAGCAAATTCTGGGAATCTCACTGCTGTTTTGTGCTTAAATTAGGAAACTAATGACATCTGGGATGGCTGGTCTTTCACGCCTAGTTTTTTTTTTTTTTGGCTAGGCAATAGGGCTAAGTGACTTGCCCAGGGTCACACAACTAATAAGTGTTATGTGTCTGAGGCCGGATTTGAACTCAGGTCCTCCTGAATCCAGGGCTGGTGCTCTATCCACTGTGCCACCTAGCTGCCCCCTTTCACGTTTAGTTTTCTGAAGGGCTGTTAACCTCTTCAGCTCTTACATGGTCCTTTCCCTATAAACAGATAAAACTAGCAGCACCTTTAGCAATATGTATACTTTTCCTGGAACGAGGGTGGAAAAAAGGAAAGACAGGATTCATCTCTTGCACTTCTAATTTCATGAACTAAACATGAAATGTCCCTCAGAAGGATATGAAAGAGATGGGACCAATTATGGCCTGCCATCTGAATCTAAGACACAGCTCCAAGTTAACTCTTATAAACAGTCCAGGGATGATATACACGCCAATTCTGCCTAAGCAGAACAACAGAGACCAGTCTTATAATCACCAGCAATGATGAACTCTAAACCCTGCAAATGTTATGTTATGTGTGCACATGCATGGACATATACACACACACCTCTTACAACTACTTCTTGTAGGTATGATTACTGCCATCTGATCCTAGGACAGTAGTATGCTTTTCCCATGTCTACTTGAGTATTTCTGAGTAACCTCTGAAGAAAATGTAATGAAAGCCCCTACACCAGGTCTGCGCAACCTGTGGCCCACCAAAGGATTTCCTCTACGTACAAAGGATGTTTTCCCCTACATTTTTCACGGGCTGCTTGAAATCCTTTGGCGTGCCACAAGCGGCCTGTGGGCCATAGGCTGTGCAGGCCTGCCTACACTAACATGGGGGCACAGTCAGCCCATATTTAAGCTGCTAGTTAACACTGCCCCTAGCTACAGTTGCTAGGAATTCCAGGTAAGGTGGTTCATGCTAACAGGCTTGGTTAATCCCCCAAAGTCTTCTCTCCTCCAGCACAGACCCTATACTTACCAGTCTGGGGAGGCTGCTCTTCTGATTCTGTCTTGCACTCTACCTCAGAATCACTGCTGTCACTCTGAGGACTTCCTTTGTAAGACACTGGCAGAGCTGGGCCTGCAGAGGCAATCGCTGCAAGTCTTTGCTTGGGAGGTGCCTTCTGTAGCTGAGGGTTTATGGATACAGGGAGAGATGAACTGGGAAATGCATAACCTGAAAGGACAGACTGACAAGATACATCATGTTACACAAGAGATCAGCGTAGAGTCAAGGTTACTATCAGAATTCACAGTTTTGGCGTTCTGCCCATAGCCTGGTGCCAGGATCATTGGAACAGCAACTTACAGGGCCCAGAGCTGGACTTCAGAGACGGTATGGTTCCACTTCTTCATATCAAAGATTGGGAAACCCTATCTCAGAGAAGGGGAGTGACTCGCCCAAGTTGACAAAGGTAGAGAGTAGCAAAGCTGGGACCTGAACCTCTGACTCCAAATCCATCATATGAAAGTGGGCTTCTGCCTCTACTTTTCCTAAATGAAGGGCAGGGCCTTTTTGTACAGTCTCTGTTGTTTAGTCATTTTCCAGTTGTGTCTGACTCTTTGTGACCCCATTTGGGGTTTTCTTGGCAAAGATACTGGAATGGTTTGCCATTTCCCTCTCCAGCGCATTGTACAGATGAGGAAACTGAGGCAAACAGGGTTAAGAGACTTGCCAGGGTCACACAGCTAATAAGTATCTGAGGCCAGATTTGAACTCAGGAAGTTGAGTCTTCCTACTCAAAATAACTATTAGGTTGAACAGACTGTACAGAGGAACCAACCATCACTCAAGTTTAAGAGCCCTTAGTTTATAATAGATAAAAGGTCAAAGTACATGAATAGTCAGGTGTGGTGGTACATGCCTGTAATCTCTGCTACTGAGATAAGCTGAGGATGGTATATCTATTGAACTCAGAAGTTCTGAGCTGTGGTAGGGCTAAAGCCAAACTGGGCTCTACACTGAATCTATCAGCACCCTCGAGACCAGAGGGGCCACCAAGATGCTCACAGAGGTGAGAACTGGCCCAGGTCAGAAATGGAGTCAGTAAAAGCTTCTGGGCTGATCAGTGGTAGGATCAGGTTCTTAAGTGACTACCACACTTCTGGCCTGGACAAGATAGGGAGGCCCGCATCAAAAATAACAGTAATAATAAAGACAAAAAACCCCTGCAAAGTATAAGAATAGTCTTCAAAAGACAACATGCAAATTATCAACAACCACATAAAAATATTCCAAAATGCAAATTAAAACAACACTGAGGTATTACTTCACATGAATCAAAAGAGGAAATAAGGTAGAAGAGAAATAGTTGATACTGTAGGGGCTGTGGAAAAAAAGGCACATTAACACACCTGGCAGAATTGGGAATTGGTCCAACTGTTCTGGAAAGCAATGTGGAATTATGTAAGAAGAGTTTCTAAAATGGTCACAACCTCTGATTCAATAATCCCACACTCCTGGGCTTATGCCCCAAGGAAGTCAACACAGAAAGGGTCAATACATTTTGAAATATTCGTAGCAGCACTATTTGTAAAAAGCAAAAAGCTGGAAACAAATACGACCACTGAATGGGGGATGGAGGAACAGACTGTGGAATATTAATGCAAAGGAATATAGATATACTGTAAGAATGAATAATAATAATAGTAACAGTAAACCGTTTGAATGAACATGAGGAATTCTAAGAAACTGAACCAAAAGATAAATATGCTCAATGGCTACCATGATGTCAATGAAAACAACACTAAAAAACAAATGGATTTAGGGGAACACAATGGCCAATGTTGGCTCCGGATACATAACCGACAGCATACTTCCTTCCTTCCTGTGAAGAAACAGTAAACTATGAGTGAAAATTTACAGGTATTATCAGTCACAATCACTATTAACAGCAAATTTTGATTAACATTTATTTTCCTTACAGGGAGAAAACCATTGGAGGTTGGAGATTATTGGGAAGTAAAATGTCAAACAAAATTTATCAATTAAAAAAGTAATTTTTAAAAAAGCCATTCTTTTGTTAATTTAATACTTCTGGGTAACATAGGACTGAACTCCACTGGACCTAAAGAGAGTCAGACACCGATTCAAATCTTTGCTCAAATACTACAGAATTTGTTGAACAGTGTGGAAATGAAAGACCTAATGTACCCTCTCCAATTAAATAATGAAGTTAAAAGACTACAATATGTTATATACTGGATACATTTTGAAGAATTATGTAGTGGTCCTAATTGCTAATGCTTTCATAAGATGTTACTATCAGTATTCCTTTTATTAATGGATAGAGGGCTAGACTTGGAATCAGAAGGCTCCAGAGCAAATCCTATCTCAGATACTTATTTAGCTGTGTGATTTTAAGCAAGTCACAACACGCTGGGCCACAGTATCACCATCCGTAAAATAGGGCTAACAATAGAATCTACCTCCCAAAGCTGTTGATAGCATAAAATGAGAAAATACACAAAAGTGTTTTGCAAATGATGATCAGCAATGCTGTAAAATTTTATGGCACCCTATCTGAGAACTGCATGCCTTGCTCATAAATGTCTTAGTATGCAATATTGTTTTTTTCATTTAGCAACATGTGATTCAGCCTAATTGCTCTTGATTTTTCCACCTTTATTTTGACACACACACACACACACACACACACACACACACACACACACACACACACACACACACACGAAGCTGCTTGTAAACAGAAACCTTACTTTGTTGTCAGGGTACACTGAGTTCACAGCTCTCCCTGAAATCGCTCGTCACTACAAAAATAAATAAATAACTAATAGTGTTGATTAGTTCACTTTTCTGAACTTCAGTTTCCTCACTGCTAAAATGGTGCAAGTCTACAGGATTGCTGACAACAAACGTCCTTGGTAAACCCTGGTTTCCTGCAGTGACTTGTGCCTGTGGTTTCATTAGCAGAGGAGCTCCCAAGGAGGAAACTTCCTCTATCAATCCAGATGACAGAATCACAGATCTAGGGCTGGAAGGGACCTCAGAAGCTACCTATAGTTCAACTCCCTCATTTTACAGATGAGGAAACTGAGGCCCAGGGAAGCAAAGCCAATTGCCCAAGATCATATAGGTAGGTAGTAGGCACCAGAGGTAGGATTTGAACCCAAGTCCTCTGCCTCTTTGCACCACTCTGCCTCAGCACCTTCTGTGCACTTTATAATCCTAGAGAGTCATCTGGGGCACTGAGAGGTTAATTGCCACATCCAGGCTTACAAAGTGTATCAGAGGCAGAATGGACCTGGGTCTTGCTGGCTCTAAGGCCAGCTCTCTATACATTCTACATGTTCTATCTTTAATAACAAGAGTTAATAGCATTATTCAGAGGCGCAGAGCAATTTCCCTCTTGGCCCCTCAAACCTACCTGGGAAGGCTCTATCATTTCCTCTTCGCTGGAATCCTCTGGGCTCTCTGTATTCACAGTGGCTTTGCCCTTAGGGGAAGGACCTGTAGGAGAAGCATACAAGTTTACGAAACCTGTTGGTCCTGTGAGATTTAGTGCAAAAAATCCTCATTAGTGGCTTACAGGATATGGTCATTCTCATGGGTGGTTTCTCCTGAAATTTCTCGCTCAATCTCTCTGCCCACCTTTCATTCATCCCCCCATCTACTAGATTCTCCAGTCATCTTCTTCTGGGGACCAAACCAGTAGCTTACTTTCCCTGTCCTGTCTTCAAATCTCTCAATAAGTTTTCCTTCTAGGTCACGGGTGAGGAACCTGCAGCCTCGAGGCCACCCTCTAGGTCCTCAAGCACAGCCCTTTGACTGAATCCAAACTTCAGAGAAAAAACCCCCTTAATGAAAGGATTTGTTCTATAAAACTTGGACTCAGTCAAAAGGCCTCACCCAAGGATCTAGAAAGCCACATGTGGCCTCGAGGTCACAGGTTCCCCACCCCTGTTCTAGGTGGATTTCCACAAACTTTCAGGGTTCTAGAAATAACTGAACACTATTAAGAGGCATTCCCTATATCAGCAAAGTTAAAATGTTCTGGGGCTATTCTTAACCTCCCATTTTATCTAGACTGTCATTGCCTTCATTTGTAGAGAAGATTGGGTCTGGACTCTCTTAAGATGGTGCTTAAAATGGCAATGATGCCCAATCACATTAATTAGAGATGTGTGTCTGATGAATATGGAGTCAGAAGCCATGGGCTACAGTCCTGGCTTTGCCAGTAATCCACTGGGTAACTTTGGGCACAGTCATTTAACTTCTCTTAAGCCTCAAGTTTCTTCATCTGCTAAATGAAGGAACTGGATTCTTATCTCCAAGATCTCTTTTAACTCTGAATCCAATGAGGAGCCAATAACAACTGTCCAACCTTTCACTTGACATGAAACATGAAGAAACAAACCCAGAGAAGGTCTTACTCTTCCCTCTGCCCTACAATTCTTCTTGTCTTAGAACAGCCAACCTCCCTCCAGATATCCCCACCCTTGGCTGTCACTGCCCATAGAAGTTTGCTTTTCCCACGTTATCAAGGGATAGTGGATTAGGCATGGGGCCATTTTTCTTTAGGTGTCCTTACCTAGATTTTGTGTCTGCTTTGCTTTGACTATGTCTGAGTCTTCTTTCTCACTCTTTGTACCATTACTAGTGGTCACAGAAAAGCTGTCCTGAGCAGGCGTGGCTTGGGTCCCCCCAGCAAGCTTAGATTTCTTGTCCTGCTTAGCTGTTTTGCTCTTCATCACACAAGTGGTCTATGGAATAAAGATGAAGAGTCTTTTAGAGACAATGGCATCTTAATCCAAGGAAAGCACAAAGGAATGGTGAGAGGAAAGGGAGGAGGAAGGGAAATAGTCACTTCGTGCCTTGCCTCCTCATATACACTCAGTACCTGTCCAAATTAAGCATTCAAAACTCGAGTCTAGTGTAGATCCTGTTCATGCCTTAGTTCAAGTAGTCTTATCTTCCCACATCCTCTTTTTGATCAATTTCTACTATTCTGAGACTTGACTTAATTCTGCTAGAACTAAAATACGTGCCCAATAACTGAGGAATTGCTGAACAAACTGTGGTATATTAATGGCATGGAATATTAGTACATCATAAAGAATAAAGAACACGATAAATTCTGAAAACCATGTAATCAACTGTATCAAATTCAAAAGATTTTGTATGAACAAAATCAAGGTAGCTAGGTTTAGAAGGGAAACAATTAAATGGAGGAAAAATCTATGAAGCAAATATCTTTGATAAAGTGGATATTTAAGATATGTTGGGAATTCATATAAACATCTAAGAATAAAAGCCACTGACCTGATAGGGAACTGGTCAAACTATATGAATAGGGAGGGCAGCTAGGTGGCACAGTGGATAGAGCACCAGCCCTGGATTCAGGAGGACCTGAGTTCAAATCTGGCCTCAGACACATAACACTTACTAGCTGTGTGACCCTGGGCAAGTCACTTAACCCCCACTGCCCAACCCAAAAAAAACCCCAAACAAAACAAACTATATGGATAGGAAGTTACCAAAAGAAGAAATGTAAGCTATCAACATCCTTATGAAAGGATGCTCAAATCACAAATAATAAAAGAAATGCAAATGAAAAAAATACAGAGGTTTCTCCTCAGCAATCATATTGATGAAAAAAAGAGAAATAGTAGATATTGGAGGAGCTATGATTAGACTGGTGTACTAATGCACTCTTGGTGAAACTGTGAATTGGTGCAGGAGTTCTAGAAAATGAGTTGAAAAAAGTCTATTTCTCCTGACCCAGTGATATCACTACTAGGTATATATTCCAAGGTCAAAGATCCTAAATATCAATCTGTATCAACACTGCTACTATGTATCCATGTCAACTGACATACATGCATACCTCATTTTTATGGTGGTCTGCGATCAGTGATCTTTGACGTTACTACCGTAATTGTTTTGGGGAGCCACAAACTACACCAATATGAGATGGCGCACTTCATCGACAAATGTTGTGTGTTCCGACCGCTCCACCGACCGGCCATCCCCTGCTTTCTTTCCCTCTCCTCAGGCCTCCCTATTCCTTGAGATACAACAATATTGAAATCAGGCCAGTTATAACCTTACACCGGTCTCTAAGTGTTCAAATGAAAGGAAGAGTCAATCAATGCAACAAACTTCATCGCTGTCTTATTTTAAGAAATCGCCACCTCGACCTTTAGCAACAGGCACCCTGATCATTCAGCAGCCATCAACATCGAAGCAAGGCACTCCACCAGCAGAAAGAATCAATTATGACTCACTGAAGGCTCAGATGATGGTTAGCATTTTTTAGCAAAAATTTTAAATTAAAGTATGTATTTTTTTAGACATAAGTCTACTCTACACTTGATACACTATAGTATAGTATAAATATGCACTGGGAAACCAAAAAATTTGTGTGACTTGCTTCATTGCAGTGGCCCGGAAGTGAATTCACAATCTCTCCAAGGTAGGCCCCGGAGTATATCAATACTAATACTGATATAAGTAGCTATATTAGGTCTTTGACCTCCTTAAGATACATACCCAGTAGTGTGATCTATACACACAGATCTATTTATAGCAGCACTTTTTGTCACAGCAAAGAACAACAAGGAGAAAAGTGAATAGCTGTTGATTGGGGAATGGTGGAATGACATTATTTGTGCTATAAGAAATGACAAATAGAAAGAATTCCAAGAACTTGGGAATACTTGTACAACCTGACCCTGAGCCCTGGAAAGAAAGCAGAACCATGAGGCCAATATGCACAATGACCAAGAGAAGAGAAAACTGCACTGACCGTCACCATGGCACTGACCAATGGTGAGCTCAGGGCTCTGAGTTAAGCAGGCCTTCCTGCTTCTGGGCAGAGAAGGGGCGGAGAATCTATTTCCAGCCACAGCCAGTGGGTTGATCTGTTCTACCTGACTGTGCTTTCTCTATTTACTTGTAATAAGAAAGGGTCCAGGGTGGGGATGGGGGGAGTCACTGGGATGTGACAGATGTCACTCTAATTTAGAGATATGACAGAAGGCCTGTGCTCTATAACTTTATATTTTGGATCTTCAACCACAATTCACAGGCTGCAGAGCTTGGAGGGAGAAGGAGGCATTGACAAGGAGCTTAAGCAAGGAGTATCGGCAGCCATGGAGAAGCAGAGAAAGAATGTGCTCCCCCAACAGCTTTGGGGGGGGCTGACTAGTAAAGGATGAGTACAGAAAAGGAAGAAAATCTGAGACAGTTACAACAGCAAGCTCTGTGTGTGTGTGTGTGTATGTGTGTGTGTAGGGGATAGCTCAGAGAGGGCTTTATGGAGGATTATATGAGATAATGAAAGGAAAAACCCTTTGAAAAGGACAGGGAAAAACCCTTTTGGAAAGTTCTATATCAAGGTAAGGGATGATGATTACAAGGAAGGCCAATAAAGTAAGCACAATGAACATTGCTGAGTGCCCTCCCTGAGGGGTGGGGGCTGCTGCAGAAGGTTTTTGGGAGGAAGGCAGGATGGTGCATGGCAAGGAATTTGTGGATGAGGAAGAATGACACTGCTGGAGTGGGGTCTGGGCAGAAAGCGTGTTAGGTTCAGAACAGCAAGACGTGCCAAGGGTTGACAAGAGATAAGAGAGAAGATCCAACAGCAGGAAGCGTTTAGTCATCCTGTACAACACAAGGGGATGGATGGTCAGGACAGCAGCTGGCCTAGAGGGGAGTGCACAATGACACAGAGTGGAACCAGGGCTGGGGGTTGGGGTGTTGCCATGGTCTGCAAACTCAAGATAAATCAATGCCAGTCAAAAAAAACTAAGGCAATTTTAGACCTCATTAAGAAAAATGAGCAGCAGCTTCCAGAATGAAAAAGTGATAGTCCTGCTGTTCTCTGCCCTGGTCAGATCACAGCTGAAAACATCATGCTCACTTCTCCATTTTAGGAAGGAAAGTATAGTGGCATGGTTCTTTCTATTCATTTTAATACTTTATAATGTTGCTAGAGCAGGGCAAATGGTGGTGAGAAGATTGGAGGCCATGCCATATAATAACAACAACAATAATAATAACTAGAATTTATATAGCACTTTAAAGTTTTCAAAGTGCTTTATGAAATTATTTCCTTTTATCTCCACAACGACAATCCTGGGAGGTAAGTGCCATTATTATCCCCATTTGACAGAAGAGGAAACTGAGGAAGACAGAGGTGTGACTGTCCCAGGGTCACACAGCTAGTAAGTGTATGAGGTCGAATCTAAACTCAGGTGTTCCCGACTCCAGGCCCAGAACTCTGTCCACTCTGCCACCTAGCTGAAGATGACTGAAGGAATTAGAATGAATGTTGGAACCTCAAAGGCCACAAAGTGCAAACCGATACCTTTCTACAACATCCTAGGTAAAAGGTCCTCCAGCTTTTACCTGTAAGACCTCCAGTAAAGGGTGGGGGGGGGTTATCTTGGGAAAGAGAGACTCATCCTGGTTGGCCACAGTAAATAAAGCCAGGAGATACAAGAAGAAACTATAGAGGTAAATTTAGTATTAATTAAGGAAATGTATCTAAATAATTAGCAGTTCAAAATTGGACTGAGAAGTTCTGGGAGCTCTTGGATTACCCTTCAGTGGAGGTCTTCCAGCAGAGGTTGGATTCCTTGTCAGGGATATTGACTGTCAAAGGAATTTGCTCAAATACGTGGTAGACTAGATCAAAGGTGTCAAACTCACTGCCCGCAAAAGTCCCAAGCGCAAGATAGCAGATTAAAATGCAACTGGGAAACATTTTTAACAAAATAAAGAAAAATACAGTACAATGGTAGATAATAGTAATCTGTGGTTTTTGGAAGTCAATATGCAGCCCTCAGGGATCTGTTTCTGAGTTTGACACTTCTGGCACAGAGGACCTGACATACCTTCCCCCTGTGTCACTCTCTGTAAAGTGGTCCTAAAGAGGCAGCGTGGAGGATGTCATTAGAGACCCTGAGGGACTATGGGTATGTCATGTGGGAAGCACGAGAGATGGCTTATGGGAGGGCTATAGGGGTCTACTAGACGTCAGGAGAGCACAGGGACTGCCAACTGGGTCTAGTCCTTATGGTGATGTTACGGGAGGTCATGAACAAGGATCCCCCAGAGCCGAGATCTATCCATGAAGGAAGTACCTGTCCTACACTAATGATACGAAGATGTAAAAAAATGGATAATATATTCACGGACTACCGTTAATATAATAAATGACGATGGGATGCTTCAAATGTACACAGGAAAAATTATAAGAAGAAATGATAATAACATAAGTGAAAAGATCTTGAAGAGGAATACACGTCTTGAGTGCTCTGCAGACCAATGACAGTCCTAGAGAAATACGGAGACATGGCTTCCTTCTAGAGCGAGAAATGCTGTCAGCTATCAGTGGTCACCGTGTTAAAGGGTTTTATTGAACTGCATTTCTTCGTTACAAGGGAGAATTCAGTGGGGGGAAGGGGATCCCCCCCCTTCCCCATACGACAAGAAGCACCAGTAAAACTTTTTTTTTAAGCAATGAGAAAGGAAAGCAAGCAGGACATTGTTATTCCTTTGTTTAAAAAAATACCAAAAAATAAGTTGTACATAAAATTCAGAGTTCATTGTTTTATGTACTATTATTTACACATTTTGGTTTACTTGCATATTTGTTTTTAATGATGGTTACTAAGAAGAATAAAAGTATTTTCTTAAATAGAAAAGCGGCTCTGACTGCTAGCTGGTGAGAAGTTTTGGAGACACTGAAAGTGTC